ACACGAAATTTATCAATGGTCACTCAACAACTTTGAATTATATACTAGTTATTTTACATCTTCAGTGACCATGTTAAGGCTATTTGATTCTAAACAACGTACATTTACAATTCAAGAAGGAAAGTAACATACTATCATGGTTTAAACGCATGACATTTTTTTCATTTTGTGTTAACTTATAAGATATAGTATGAGAGTCCACTATAAAAAGTTTTATTTGACAGTAAAACCACCTGGAAATCAGTTGTAACAAATGTATAATTTGAAAAGTATAATAAACCTTTTTGTCATAAAAATATTCGCAAAGTAGAAAAGTCATAATATAAATGTATATTACATGGTACAAAGATTCTTTGAAGATATTACAACTACTTGTTATATAATATATCACTAGTATGACAATAAAGTTAAAAGAGAAACAACATAAACAAATTACCATACTTGTTTCGCCAACGGGTTGTAAAACAAAAATAAATCTTGATTTTCTTCGATTTAATGGGTGGTCGTTTTCTTTTTAAAAAAATTAGTAAACGTGCAGACATTTGGATGAGATAATTGATGTTCATCTTAACTTGAAGTTGTTAAACACATTCACAGTCTATTATTATATTTACCAGTTACTTCAAGTTCTTCCCTAAGGATTGGTAGCATTCATTTACATTGTAAAGAATTCCATAAAAAGTACATTCGAGAAGATGCTGTAGTTTGATGTTTTCACACAAAATTCCCCGACAACTCGATAGATAGTCATCGTTTTCATTAGATATTAAGATGGCATAGCTTAGTTTTCCATGTTAGTATTTCATCAGTGTTAGGGATAAGCATATTTCTATACCTCCGTCCAAAACTGAAGTAAGGACTGTTTAGTTCAGTGCTTGCACAAATTTGTGTTGGTTTATCCGTACACATATTTTGTCCTATTTGTTATGTTAGAGTATCATTGTAGTTGTTTTCGATAACTCTGCCTAATATAACATTACGTTACATATGAATGTTTTTTTTTCCTACAATAAAGAATTCGAGTAAAATATCATAGCTGTTTACAACCATTTATAAGGTGTTCTAATAAAAAATAGCTTTTGTAAAACATTTCTTTCAATTAACAAAATGTGTTAACATAGGAAATAAATAAAAGGTATACGTCAACGAGACAGCATTCCAAAACACCTTAAAGCAAAAGAGAGTCATCTTTGCTGAGGTATTTTTGATGGACTCCATGGGTTAAAAACATGGTGGGTATATATAAAAATAAGGTGTGGTATGATTGCAAATGAGACATCTCTTCACCAGATACCAAAATGACATAGAATACAGATATAAGAAGATGTGGTATAGAAGTTTACAACTATAGGTCACCGTACGACATCCAACAATGAGCAAAACCCATTCCGCATAGTAAGCTATAATAGGCCCCGATATGACAAATGTAAAACAATTTAAACAAGAAAACTAACGGCCTAAATTATGTACCAAACAATGAACGAAAAACAAATATGATATACAGCAACAAACGACAACCACTGAATTACAGGCTCCTGACTTGGAACAGACACATACGGAATAAGCCGGGGTTAAACTAGTTTGTTGGCACCAAACCCTCCCCTAACCTGGGATAGTGGTTTAACAGTACAACAGTACAACATAGTTAAACAATTAAAACATAAAAAAACAACGACCCAATTTATTTCTGTACAAAGTAACAAACGAAAAACAAATATGACATACAGCAACAAACGACAACCATTGAATTACAGGCTCCTGACTTGGGACAGGCACATACAGAATGTGGCGGGGTTAAACTAGTTTGCGGGAATCAACCCTCCCCTGACCTGGGACAGCGGTGTAACAAAAATAAACTCATGATAGATACATTGATTAAAATTTTGTATGCTAGACGCGCGTTTCGTCTACAAAAGACTCATCAGTGACGCTCGAATCACAAACGTGAAAATGGCCAAATAAAGTAAGAAGTTGAAGAGCAAAGAGGACCCAATAACACAACATAAGAACAAAGTAATGTTTATCTGTGCGAGGATAATGCTGATTTTGTTCTTGAAAGATTGAATAAACATCGTTAAATTTTAAGAAAAATGTATGGTACATTCAGCTAACAAAAGTCCTTAAGTGGGATGCTCCCAAGTTCGAACAAAAGTGTTGATTTAGAGATTTTAATTCATCAATCAAAATTTTAAAAAGTTTACTCAATGATTACATAATTAAATTCTTTGATATTGTATTACATTTTTTTACGTTTATACGTACTTCGTTGATACCTTGGAGCAACCTGAATAACCAACAACATGCATTCAGTCAGAAACATTGTGTACTGAATTTCGTTTAACCAATTTTACCACAATTGACGTAAAAATAAATAACCGTATGATTCATGATTTTATCGTATAATGATAATATCAAAAATTGGGCATAAAATATTTATAAAATATTATATTAGTAGTTAAATGATAAATTAAACTTGAATGCACCTTAAAAGTTGCATAATATAACAATAAGACAACATTAATTTTAATGCTTTACCTACAGGAAGAGGGCAATGTATCACTTTCATATGCTTTCATTATATTCATATTTGAGTTGCTACTATATAGGTGGTCGTTTTAATATTCAATTTAAGATTTCATTTACTACATAAGTGATTTATTGTGTGATATCCGAGGATAATTTAACATATATATTAGATTGATTTTCAGAAATGTTACAATACGAGCAGTTTTTAACCTCAAAATTCATACTCAATTCTACATATCAGAATGATGACTGTTACTTTAGTTCGATTAATTAATATATATATAAAAACATATCTAATATCATAGTATTTTATCTTTTTTTTATTAAAAAATCTAAGTATTGTTCAGCAAGTACACATATAGTATTGGATACACGTGAGAGATAGTGTTACCGTAATAATTTTCTCACACTATTTATGAATAAACTTTTTTGTGGATTATGTATATACTTTAAACATGACATCTGACCAGATTAACTCTGAAATATTCTATTCACTTTTTTCCTTGAACGTGCAAGTTGTTATTTATTGCCAGGTTGTAGTAATTGTTTTGGTCGAGCATAATCGCCATAATCAGATGTAGCTAGTGGAGCAGGAAATTTTCACCATTCCAGAGCAGTTAAGTTCACCAACAATTTTGGTGGGATTCGTTTTGCTTAATATCTAGCATTTTGTGAAATATTCATGAACTCGTCTTTTTTCGGCTGGCCATGTTGTTGTTTGTTTTATTTCGATTTATAGCATTTGATGATCCAATTGGTGTTTTATTGCTTTATGTAATCGTATGTGTTAATTTCTTCTTAATCTTAATTGTCTTGGATTCTCAATTTCTCTGGCGAAGGTCGGTTGTTATCTCCGGGCTCGTCGGGTTCCTCCAACAATAAAATTCTATGAAAAACGGGATGATTTCAGTTTTCCAATTGCGAAGTTCCCATTTCTCAGAAGTAACATACATTCTGCTCCATCGCATGGCGTTTACATTTCTCTATTTATACGTTACGCCCATGCGTGTTTACATTATACAGGGGTGTGCTCCTGATACAAATACTGATTCTAGGGTTGAGAGGGAAAACGACTGAAATCGATACTATAAATGAGTTTTATGGTTAGTAGCGCGAATTGGTTGAAATATACAATGTGTCTATGTCTTTATGCAGTAGCGACATGTTTTCGAAGTCTTATGTTCCTTAGATATATACTAGAAGAGTCGTCTGATCTTTCTATTTACCGATTGTGTCTCATTCTCTTTTGTGACATTCCGATTTTGTGTGGAGTCGGATAGTTGGTGATGCATGCACTGCAGGAGACACTTGCCCTGTCGACTAAGCCAATCTCGTTTCGTTTTGGAGAGTTTAAGAGTTTTTTTTATCTTGAATTGTACATTTTGAATGGATTTGTGTGATTTGGATACCGGTAAACTTATAACTCTATATAAACCCAAAGATGTGTGATTAATGGGACGTTTGAAATCTACCACGATTTATTTGTGTGTAACTCGTTTCGAATTCGAATTGCAGTATTATACGTACCCTGTTTCACAATATATATTTGTCTGTACTATAACACTTGTTGGGAAGGCCATACTGCTATACCATGCCACTGAGTTCTACCAGATTGTGTTTGGTAAGGCTTGTTAATCTACCAGATTGTTTGGTAATGCTTGTTAATCCTTCGTTTTGTAGGCTATTGATTGTCTTTAAATCGTTTCCTTTCGGGGATCCTTGTATTTTTTTCTGTTGTTTGATATAGATTTTGTTCCAGTATTGTATCATATTGAATTTCATGTATGTTTTTGATGGTACCCTTTATTTGCATTTTGTTTTACAAAAGTTTCTTTTATGTTTATAGGCACTTTCAAATACATGTATTTTCACTTAAAATTCCTGTTTCAGTTTCTAAAGTAGACAGGGTTAAAAACCGGTCAAAATTTTATGGTACAATACCCCAAAAGGTTATCAACTACAACTGGAGGCAAACCAGAAAAAAATATCATGCGATAGAATTTAATTTGAAGATTCGGAAATTTCCATGTATGGCTGTCACATTTAAGCCGCTGAACATGGGCCAGAAAATAAATTCATAGAGTAATCATGATTTACTAATCGCATGACTGAAACATTCTTGGCAAACATAATTCATGTTACGTAACCGTAAAAGTACATACAATTGTAATAATACGTTACTTAAGCACATTAATCTGTGATAGATTGATTTACAAATACATTGTATTCAGGGAAGCAGAATTTTCTTTAATCTTTAAAACATGAAAGCCTTACATATCTGAATCATATATGGTCATATATAGAAATATTACTACTCATAACAGGATCTTGCCCTGTTAATACAACTTAGGATTTGTGCTTTCCCTCTATTTTGGTGAATATTTGTGAAACTAACATTCACCAATGTGTGCCTGGCGCCAATATCAGAACCTTATCTTGAATAGTGTTTCTAATTTTTTCTTATATATTTCCAGAAGATGCATGCAAAAAAGGAACCCATGACTGCCACAAAGATGCAATATGTATTAGTACTAGAAAAAGTTATACTTGTAAATGTAATCCGGGTTATTATGATGACAAAAAGGTTTGTAAAGGTAAGACATGTGTCAAATTATCATTATAACTGCATCCTATATCAAATTGAGGAGATGTGGTAATCTTCCCAGTGAGACAACTATCCACCAGAGTTAAAATGAAGTGTGACCTTTAACAATAAGCAAAAAACCCATACCAACCGTATAATCGGCTATTATAGGCCCCGTCATGAAAAATGTTAAACAATTCAACAAAACAATTTACGAAAAACAAATATGACAGACATGAACCAACGGTAACCAATGTACAACAGGTTCCTGTCTTGGGAAAGGCACATAAAGAAATCCGGGTACGCATATTTCTCTAAATTACCTGTAATAACTTACTTTATTTACTTTACCTATCAGATGACAAAATATATTTTGTAATTACTATTTGAGACTTTTGCTAATTATTTGAACGATATTCACAATTAAAACTATCTTTATGTATACATTTTAGACAGAGACGAATGCAATTATGATAATGGAGGTTGTGTCCATTTTTGCCATAATACACCAGGAAATTACACATGTAGTTGTAAACCAGGTTTCATCCTGGACAAAGATGGCCAGAACTGTATAGGTGAGTCGTAAAACAAGAACAGTAAGACGACCAATGGTAACAATGAATTATAAAAGAGATGAGTGCTTCAAACGAAGATTATAAGTATCGCATCGCCAGACACCGGTTTCTCTTTGATTTTTCTCTATCCACTTTGGATGCGAGTTAAAAAAAAATATAATAATTCAGCTAATCAAAAGCTTTATAAAGGAATTAACGCTCCAACCCAAGAATGAATGTTGAATTACCGCCACAAAGATGGCAAGGACATGTGGCGGACGGAGATAATCTGCAATATGCACGAAGTTTTTTCATAAAGAGTAGCATAATGATATAACCACCTTCTACATCCTTACTATGAGCGTACCACGGAAATCGATGCAAATGTTTAAGTAACTACCACTGGGTCAGTGTCTGTGATGATGGGCTGTCAGTCCATGAGAGTATCATCCATCCAATCAGGTGCCAATGTTTCTCCACTGGACTGGCATAATTTGAAAAATACATTCTCACTGTAACTATCCGTAGATTAATTCTAAACATTAAGACAAATTGAAGGATTTCATTCTTGTTTGCTTAAATTAATAAAAAGAATGGCTAACCTTGATACAACTGTCTTGTTTGAGGAAGGATAAATCATACTTTGTAAAAAAAACACTCTGATTCAAATAAAAACATCTTTGAGACTGACATCATCAAGCTGCTTGGTATCTGGATTGACAACATATTTCGTACGTTTTGAGGACGTGTTTTACAACAAACAATCAGCATTCCTATGGGAACTTACTTTGCTCCTCTTCTTACCGTCTTATTCCTTCATTTATTTGAGGCAGACTTCATACAGGAACTCCTCATGAAGAATGGAAAAAAGCTAGCATTATCCATTAACCTCACGCTCCGGTGTGCATATGTTGTCCTCTCACTAAATAATCAAAAGTTTGGTGACTGCGTTGAACGCATCTTTACCTCTTGTTGCACATGTGAATATAGCATATTGTATTGTATTGTATTGAAACGATGACTTCAACTTTAACACTTGAAGTCATCGTTTCAATACAATACAATACAATACAATATGCTTTATTCACATGTGCAACAAGAGGTAAACATATACAAAATACAATCACATACAATCATAAAAAGAAATAAAACAACTCTAAAATGGAATACATTAATAATAACTATACTTTATAATACTTTAATAAACGTTGAAACGAATAAAGATACATTTTTTTGTACCTTTATATTACCCAATGATAGTAATCCTTTCATTTTTTGCTGCGCTGGGATATTTAACATAGTACTGAGGAATGTGTTGATTTCTGATATTTTTTTACTAAGATGGAATTGCATTCGAATAAGTAATGGTATTCATTACCAATAGCATTCGAACACATATTACATACCCTCTCTTCTTTCGGAATATTGTACCATCTACCCAGCTCTACTGGAATTTTCACATTACAGCATCTTAATTTTGAAATATATTCACGTTCGAGTGGTGATAATTGTACAAGATACTATTCTAGACCAAACATTGTTTTAAATAGACCGTAAAATTCACCTCTGGAAGAATTGTCATTTTGACTATACTATTATTGAATGTATGCATCTTTAAGATTTTGTTTCAGAACGTTTTTCAAATTGATTTATGTCTACTGGCAATTGCCGAGTCCAAACATAGTGAAGTCCAGAATTGTCTAAAATCGATTTAAGTTGGTCAATCCACTTGAACGTGTAATCATCTTTTAAGTTGAACATTATTTGATACATGGTATTGCTTAGTTTGTTTTCATTGGCGAGAAGTTTATTCCAAAAACACACCATTCTAACTTTTATTATCGTATCTATTGGTGTACGACCAAGTTCTCCATATGTCATAAAATTTGGTGTCGAGGATCAAATTTTTAACACATTTCGGCAAAACTGCAGTTGAATTTTTTCCAGCATGTAATTGTTCGAAATTTTACGGACGCAATTACGAGTTGGGTGACCTTTATGTAATATCTGTGTCACAGATGACCACGGATATTTTTCAATTTATTGTACCACAACCCGTCTTCTTTTCCTCAATTGTGACATCACAGAATGACATATACATCGCTACTGGTAAACTGTAAGTCTCTGAGCCCTGAAGCTCAGTTCTTCGGAACTGATATGAAAATACGGATATTTTTACTTGAAATTTGCTGTTATAAAAAATAGAAATCAATTTGAATTAAGGAATGTATCTTCCTCATGCATAGCTTTGATTTCTTGTCCGGATTTGGTTATGCCTTTTGGCCCTTTTTGATTAAATAAGCTGTTAAATGTTTGTACTAGATTTAGATTTTTAAATATTTAGACCTGGAACAACACTAAAAAGACATTAGTTGAATATGAAATGTGCATCTGGTGCAGTAAAACGGGTTAAATTAATGATATTACAAAATTGTCCCTGAGTGATATTGTATCTATGATTTATGAAATTTGTTGGCTTTAGCAGATCATTTCTTGAATGTTGTATTCAAAGGTATTCAATTGCCGATTCGCTACTTAAGACTTATTTACGACACACGAATGCAATTTTAATTAGCTGCATTTTTCTGCTAATTCCACAAATAATGTTTTGCATTACTTGCACTTAAGTATCTGTTAAAAGATAAATTGTTGCTGCAAACCTTCGTTTACTTATTTAATTCATCTGTCTGTTTCGATTAAATTTTAGATGCGAATGAATGCTTTACGGCCAAAGGTGGATGTCAGCACCAATGTGTTAACAGCATGGGAAGTTATGAGTGTAGGTGTAATGCTGGGTACTCCTTATCCTCAGCAGATTCCAAATCTTGCCAATGTGAGTTCATATATGTGCACACGTTTTTGAATTTCTTTTCCATTGACACGTTGTTTTATAAAATAAAGAAGAGGAATTAAATTCTACAAACCTGTTTTTTGGTAGAATGCAGTGTAAAATGTGGTTTTTCGAATGAATTGAAGTTAATTGTTTTTTTAGAATGACCTGCAAATCTGCACATGTCTTTCAGGGTGTAAACCGTAACGTATGTACATCTATTTTGTTATTGATAAAAAGCGGCTTAAATAGCAAATTTTATATATACAGCCATGAAATTAAGCCTAACAATGTTAAATCCTCTAATTTGCGGAAGACTTTGTCCAACCCCTCAGTGGGATTTGAAATCATGCGTCTGTGACATTGTGCTATATTGACTGGCACTATGTCTAACACCCTTGACCACTCGACCAATTAGAAAATAATAAATAATAAAAAAAAAAATAAGAATGTTTCTGCCAGTCGTAAAGAATAATGAATACTTACCAGTCACACCAATATGTTCCGATTTTAAACGTTTGAATATGAGATACCTATACGATTGACATTCTCCATCGGATAACATAGGATTATACAAGTTTAACACATCACATTACATATACTTATCTGAAATTAAAACTAACAATGTTAATAGATCTGCAAATTTACGATAGCAAATTTGTATACTTCTGTGAACGGAAATTGAATCCTTTGTACTGTGACACTGTTTCCAGTGCCTCGGGATACCACAATAGGCTACATAACATATCTCTATTCCGTTAGTCGATAGTGACTTTATATAGAACAAGACATATGGTTGCATTAATGTAAAGAAAGATAAAGACTAACCATGCAGTTTAAAAAAAAACAACTTTGTGAAGACTTTATGGACGTGTTCACACCAAACGTCGCGTACTGTAAACCTATTTACAATTATCCTCATGTAATAAACACTGGTTTCACATACAATTTGTTCTCATCTGTTCACCGGTTTTTATTACCTACCTGTAAAGGAGATTTGTTCACACGATTAAACTAGAAGTAAATTAAGAGAACATTACATTGTGTTGAAATGCAAAATTCTCTGTCAATCTCTGTAGTAGTCATGCAAAAAGTTTTTGTTTTATTTGGGTAACTTTGTCACTATAAAGATTGCATAATAATTAAGCAGACCGCAGCAGTGTTACCATAGGCAAACCGAAAAGGGTTGAAATGGTCGGGTTATTAAAAAACGCAGGATAAATCCATTTTCAACTTTTACGTTCGTTACACATGGTATTGCACCTAAAAGAAGTATTCGCAATTTAGAAACCGTCGTCAATTGAACATTGTATGAAACTGATTTCTGCGAATTTATTTTCACGAACTAAATAAGCCGTACTACCAACAGGCGTATAATGAATATTCCATTCACAAAAAATCTCCTGCAACCCCTCCCCAACCACCACCACCACCATCTCCTGAAATCTTATGGTTGACCTCTAAGTCTATTTAAGGTAGCACTACAGTCAGAATTTTCTGACTCCAACCAACAGTCTTTAAAGATTAATTTCTCCAAAACTACTCAATGGATTTTTAAAATCTTTAACTCATTTTAAAGCTGAAATATAACTCTTTCTTAATCTATAGATAAATTTATTTTTGGTATGATTAATCTCAAAATATAGCTCATTAATTGCCAAAAAAGTGGTCTTCCAACTTGGATGAAAATGGCACATTCAGGTCAAATGGTAGTAAAAATTTGTTTTCATCCCTTTAATCAACCATTCACAATCTACAAAACCGTGTCTCAGATTTTTGATATATGCCTCCAGTAATAAGATATATTATTTTTACTGCTGGATGCCAAACCTCATTTCACCTTTCATCTTTGGAGACCTATAAATTCATTTAGAAACAAATTATCCAAAAACTGGGACACGGTATTATAGAAAATACTCCCTTCAATCACATATATCAAAGTCAAGCCAAAGGGGGTACCCATAAAGTTTCTATTTTCATTTTTTTCTTACAATTCTCATGAAAAATTGTTCTGAGAAATGACCTTAAAACTGAATTTCCTCTTAAGAACCCCTATAAATGCCACATAAATACAAAAATTCCACTGGGAACACCCCAGGAGTGTTCTGACACCATTACTTTATCAATAGAACCACACACATTGTGTCTTTGATGCTCTAATGCTGTAAAATTTGCATTTTGTGTGCACTGTATAACACTAACTTGGCATTTGGCGGGAGTTTGACGTCACAGATTTGACCAACATCTGTGATGTAGTAATTAAATAAAGACAAAGCTCCGCCTCTGTCCAGACAGTCTAAGATAAGAGAATAACAGGATTGGCCAGCTGCATCATAATTAATATTTAACATCATTATTCTCACTATAAAGAATAATTTTCATTTGAATTTTAAAAAGAGATATAATATGACCATGATGACTGAAATTAGCTAAAATATTAAAATTAAAATACATGTTCATAAAAAGATCAAGACCATCCCCTTCTTGAAAATAGACTGTCCAACATGATTTATGAGTTTCATGGAATTAAAAAATTTCACATAAACTTAAAATTAGTTAAAATGCCTAAAATTATTTTTAAATGTAGAAGACCAAAGACGAGAAATTTATACAGGCAGTCAGAGGCTTTCAAAGATACTTTCACACTCTTTTCCATAGTTTTTTTTCATTTTGGTAGATTTTTTCCCTTTAAATTTTTTCCTATTCATATCTTTTTCTTTTTCTCTGTTCTAAACTTCCATGTTTTATAAATTAGTTTTGTTGCAATGCAATGAGATATTTATCTTGTGGTCAGGGATTAACAGCTGGACACTGGTATCAACAGATGATTGACATATGGTCCGAGTACACAAATAAAGTCCCTAGTGTGGACAGTGTGTTGCTTGCCAATTTTTTTAGTACCCCTTCCAAATGTATTTCTTAATGTTTTATGCCTCAAATAGCAAGTAGGGGGATGAAATTACACTGTAAAAAAATTTGGGTCATGAATTGTAAAGTAAAGTAGTGATTTGGTCCAGCTGAAAAAGGTTAAAAATTAGCACTTCGGAAGCTGTCAAAAGATTTCAAGACCCCCTTAACATAGAATTGTCCATATTTTGAGTTAGAGCCGATGAAGTTTTCTATAATTTTGATATAATTTGTCCCAAAAGTAGTACAACACACTGTAAAAATATTATTGAGAAAGCGCAGGTGGGATTTTTTTTATTTTCATTTATTGTCTAAAAGAAATGCACTACGAAATAACTGTGTACTCGGACCTAAGAGGCGAAATCAGTAAATATTAAATCTGTACTTTGGCAACTTCCCTGAATGATTTAATGGTGTCAATTTGTCAAATAGCATGAAACTAAAGGATTTAAACTTTTATTTGATAGAAATTCTGCAAAAATTACTCATTTTGGCATTATATGGTCAAAATAAGCATTTCAAAGCTTTTTCAATTTTGATGCATAAGTGGCATTCTGACTTTCTATGTGACAGAATTTCCTGTGTCAATATTTGTGTTTCTATGCTTTAACCCAGTTGTATTACTCATTTGTGAACTCTGAATCTACAGAAAATAAGATTATCTCAGACAATATGTGCAAAATGTGTTGTATAAATGACCCTCGTCTAACGGCCTGTTTGGATCAAGTTAAATGTGAGGACCTTGGTACATAAAAGTTGAAGTCCATAATAAAGATTTCACTAAATTTGTATTAAAAGCACTTCACAATGTCTTTTGTACCTGTTTCATTTCACATAGTATCTTTCTTTTCTTATGTTAAATAGCAAGTGGTTCAAATATAAGCCTGTTGAGGCTAAAATTGCATGCAAATTTTTCACTAAAAAGTGAAAAATCTTTGTATCAGACCATACTGTCTGCAAAAAGGTTGAATACAGGAGTCCTTTTATGCTCAGATTTATTGTATCATGTAACCTGAGTATAGAAATTATAAAAAAGACACAAATTTTTATTTCCTATAGCTTCAGTATGCATTTTTAAATGTAAATATGTGCTACGGCCTAAATTGACCCTAAATTATTTTCAGTCTTACTTGGCTTAAGACCCTTTTATACTAATATGGTATGCTATTTGTAATTTTTCTTTCCATTTAAAGTACATTTAATACATATGTAAGGATTATTTATAACCAAAAAACTCCACAAATTTAAAATTGCTGGAAAATAATACATCTTCATGTAAGGCCCCCCTTCATTGGAAAACCTCCATTTTTTGGCACAGGCTCATATAAATTTGACTTTTAAATAATTGTGATAAGTCTGATAAATCAAATGAGTATTCTATTGCTTTAAATACATAAAATGTCATATATTAAGGCATTTAAAATGTATTTTTTTGCAATATTTTAATTTTTAAAGCCCCAAATGTTGATAGTTGAAATTTTTCAATTTTAACGTCAAAATTTAACACGCGAAGTTATATATAGAATTTATCATATTGTCTATAATATATATCCTATTGCCATGAAACTTTGTCAGCAGTCTCATAATTTATTAAGCTTTGGTCATACCAAGTTTTATTAAGATTGGTCAAATTTTTCTATCCTATTAGGTCCGAGTACACAGTTATCGTCCTTTGATTTTCGTTGTCCACAAATAAAGTCCCTAGTGTGGACAGTGTGTTGCTTGCCAATTTTTTTAGTACCCCTTCCAAATGTATTTCTTAATGTTTTATGCCTCAAATAGCAAGTAGGGGGATGAAATTACACTGTAAAAAAATTTGGGTCATGAATTGTAAAGTAAAGTAGTGATTTGGTCCAGCTGAAAAAGGTTAAAAATTAGCACTTCGGAAGCTGTCAAAAGATTTCAAGACCCCCTTAACATAGAATTGTCCATATTTTGAGTTAGAGCCGATGAAGTTTTCTATAATTTTGATATAATTTGTCCCAAAAGTAGTACAACACACTGTAAAAATATTATTGAGAAAGCGCAGGTGGGATTTTTTTTATTTTCATTTATTGTCTAAAAGAAATGCACTACGAAATAACTGTGTACTCGGA